AACGTGCGCTTTTTGACAAACGATCGCTCGAGCAATGCTTCCACTTTTTAGTGAACTGGAAATTTGCATTTTTTCAAAAAATTTGCATTTGTCATTTTTTCACGAAGCAAACATTTATCGAATCATTGGCGACGCGCGCTGGGGGAGCCCGTGCGATCATGCGTTTTTGCATTGTTTCGTGCTGTAATAAGATTACTCGAAATTCCGCTAGCTAGAAACCTCTTGTACATACTGGTCCTCGAATTTCGGGAACTTGATTATCCACGCTATAGTTGGACAGGAAACACTCCATTGAAAATCCACGTTCCCAGCTTTATCAGTTCCGAGTTACCGAAACTGCAGCTAAAAAATTTCATGGGGCCATGAGTAGCCACCACGCATAACGGGGGGCTGAACTTGATAAATTCAAGTTGTAGACGAGTTGAGAACATTTCCTGAAAGTTTCAGCCTCCCAGCTTCCCTGGTTCTGGAGTTATTCGTTTTCCCGCCAAAAATTTCCACGGGGCCGTACGTGGCAGCCACGCACTTTGGGGGGCTGAATTTGATAAATTGAAGTCGTAGATGAGTTGAGAACATTCCCTGGAAATTTCAGCCTCCCAGCTTCCCTGGTTCCCGAGCTAGCGATTTTCGCGCCGGAAACCCTCAGGGGGCCGTACGTGGGAACCACGAACCCCCCGGGGGCTGGATTTGAAATCTTTGAGCTCTACTTGGACATGAAACATAATCCCAAAGTTTCAGCTTTCTAGCTTTTCTGGTTCTCGAGTTAGCGATTCTCCCGCCAAAACCTTTGAGGCGCTCGTACGCGGGAACTGGACGTGCCTGAGGGTTGGTACCGCGATCCTGGGGTGGCACTTGGCCGGGGAATCCACTCGCAAAATTTTGGCGCCGAAGCTTGCTTGGGTGCCGAGTCGAAATACCTGGACAGGCGCACACACACACACACACACACATGCACAAACATACGCACACACACACACACACACACACACCGGGTCGTCGCAATATGCGTTTTCGCATTTGCGTATTATGCAAAAACGCATAAAAAACGACCGGACTTCATGCAAAAAACCGGTAATCATGTACCTGGATGTGCATCACCTTCATCCCAACTAATGCCTTTCCTCCTGCATTCTGGTAAGGATCAAAACACGGTCAATATTTGCCCAAGTGTTAGGCTACAGCGTAGAGATCATTCCTGCTAATAACGATCTGCGAGTTTAGTGCAAAAACGCATGATTGCACCGGAAAGCCTGCTGCGTTCCAGCCTGGATTGTAATTTGCATATATGCAAAAACGCATAAAAAAACAGCTGCGCCACACTAGCGTTATACGTGCAAGCCTAAGATAATATAGGAAGCGAGTGGAGCATGAATTCCTGCAGATTATTGATCTTCCATTTTACGATTGGTGG